TAGTTCCTTTTTAGCGTTATTAGCTCTGACTCTGAGGACTGATCTAGGAGTGAGTGTCTTGACCCTGTCCTGGGTTTGTATATTACCTATTCGATGTTCACCAATGCAGCCTCCAGCGGACCTGACTGACATTATATCGCGACCGACATATCTAAAATATCGTCTCGATCGTCTCGATATGTATAGTAAATATGTCGTTTGCCCAAATGTCGGCGTCGATATTCTTTATTATCTATTACTCGTGATGTTTACGAGAAATTATGAATCCGGAGATTCTGTACTATAAATAGGTATTGTCTATGATTGGTTGCCATGGCATCTGTTGTTTTCCACTATTTTTATAATAAAAAAGAGTGAATTCAAACATGAAAATATTTATGTGTGTAACTGTGTATGTAAATAAATAGAGCTTTTACCTTTTAGAAATTTATAGTGTGGATAAAGTATATGAGATTCATGACCGTCCAAGATAGCCAAGTTTTTGCTACATCGTGCACTTGTTCGGAAACACAATCATCCATACATGTGCATACACACTTGTGCACACATGTTCTGCTCATTAGATGATGGCGACGGGAGCTTCTTCTGACTTTGAGGAGAAAAGGGCACGACTTGCAGCCTTGAGAGAAAAGATTGATAGAAACCAAATAACCCCTAATATTGGTCTTGCAAATAGAGGTACTACGATTATACCCGATTTGAATAATATAAAGACACTTGGAAGTAGTCTAGATAGTTTGTCACGTACAAAATCTAGTGATCCCAATTTGTTAAGAAATCAAAGCTCGAACGAACAAACACAGCAGAGTGTTTATGATAAAAACAGACGGCAAGAACAACAGCAGAGGGAATATATAGATCGACAACGACAGCAGCAGCAGTTGTATGACCAATACCAACAACACCAAAGCCAAAACTACATTCAAACCAGTTTGTATCAACAACAACAACAGCAATACAATCAACAACACCGCGTACCACAGGCACAACAACAACAACAACAGCAACCCCGTAAAAGTAGCAGTAATACACAGCTGTATTCCAATATGAATCCCATGCAGTCGCAGAAACAACAATACCTGCAGAAGGCACAGGCACAGTTAGGTTATCAGACCAGAGATCCAAGTAGTGGCAGTGTAGGTGCATCCTTGCACGCAGGAAGTCAGGGCGGACAACTGTACCAGCAAGGTATGTCTTACGATATCTAACTTTAGTCTTAAATGCATGGCATATTTCTGTTGGAGATATACGATGAATTAATCCGTCAAGAAGGTTGTTTGTTTTTATTCAGTGCACTGTGTAAATGCATAGAAAGTCTATCGAAAATCAACAATGCATTCAAGAGTAGGCATACTATATATATATATATATATATATCTATATATATCTATATATATATGTCAATATCAATATTAAAATTTATATACACACACACACACATACAGAC